CTGTTCACAGCTTTTAGTTCTTTCCTTTGGTTGATCCTAACCTAGCATTTGTGAAACAAGAGCAGGTCCATTTTGCACTATGAAGACATCTCACGTTTTAATTAAATTACATCCCCAATAAGCTAATAATTATTGAATAACTATCATTTAATGAGCACCCTATATAAGAAAATAATTAAGGCAGTGTGACAGTGAACAGCATAATGTCTCAGCCAGGAAGCACTTGGTTCACATCTTCGTTGAGGGCAAATTCGCTGAGTCCAATATGTCCTCAAGGCCAAACTACATGATGTAGTGGTTCAGTTGAAGGCTTAGCTGAGACCAGGCTCTAAGTGTTCAAGGGAATCAGCCAGGGAGTGCAGCCGGAAGCAGTGACTAATCACCATAGCCCCATATAGGTTTGGCTCCTGTGCTAAATCAGTGCAGGAAGCAACTGTTGTTTTTGGATGCTAGTGTTTGTGGACTGCTTCGTGAAACCTTCTGGAGGTCTCTTGACCACCAGACCTTAATGGGAGTGATTCACAACAGCTTGTTTCCTGCACTGATTTAGCACAGGAGCCAAACCTATATGGGGCTGTAGTGATTAGTCATCACTTCCAGTTGCACTCCCTGGCTGATTCCCTTTAACACTTACAGCCTGGTCTCAGCTATACCCTCATCTGAACCACCACAAGAAGCTTGGCACATATATAGATGACATACTCCAGCAAGGTAAGTGTGTGAAAGATGTCTGCTTTCTAAGCACATGTTTTTCCTCATCTCTGTATTTTGAAAAGATAGGTGTTTTGTCCTTGGTCATTAGAACATAAGGATAGGTTTAATTTGTAAGTCTGATTGTTCGGGCATGCATCTCTCAGGAAAGCCCACTGTTGGGGGAAAACGTGTTCATAGCTGTGAATATGTATTACCCTTAATGTCTGGTTTGCCAGTCAGCCTCAAAACCTTCCTCCACATGCAACATAAGATTTTCATTATGTATGGCTGATGCTTTGATGGTAATCACAATCCTCATTTCAGAGCATCAAACTTCATCAAATGTTGAATTTAACTGTTATTTCTCAACTCCATGGAGACAACACTACTGCTTTCTCATTTCACAGTTTCCATCATTATTACATCAGAAACCCAGTCTTCTACTGTGCAGGTCAACTGTGCTTGCAATTTCCACTATCAAAACCAGGGATCCATCTATTTCATGTGATATTTTTGTCAAGGAAAATTGTAGATCTGGTTAAATTTCAGACTAGGACTATAGGAAGGGAAAATGCTAAAATAATGTCCCCATGCTGCATTCTTAATATGGTTTGGGTCCCTGCAGTTACTTCTAAGCAATGATATTATGATGCATGTTCTAGCAATGTATTTAAAGTAATGTGTCCTGTGCCAGTAACTGTTAAAATTATATTGGTAATTTAAATAACACTGGGCTATGAATCACACTGCCCTAGCTTGAATCCCTTTTCAGCCATGAAATCTCTTGATCTCCTTAAATAGCCACTCCTTCTTACCACTGTCACCACCATTGCCAATGTGCAATGACAATAATCTGTCTTTCAGAATGGTAGCAAACATTACAAGATAATGTGTGTGGTGTGCTTTAAACACTCTAAAGCACCATAGAAGTACAAAGCAATGTTCTAAATTAGTTATGCCTTAAAACAGAGTAAATTGCACTGGTGGCCCACAGAAATTTTAATTAAGACCTCAACAACATAAAGTCAACCGATAAGGTTATGTATACAAAGGTACAGTAACACATAATTTTATATGACAAATATTATTATTAGCTAACATAATTTACATTCTACTTCTATTTCAAATACCTATGCCTGAAAAATATATATTTGATACAAAGGCTTCTAAATTTTTCAACAGCTAGTTCTTGCTGTTATACTTCCGGGTTAGTAAACTGATCATCACAACTCAAGGCATATCTATGGTATACAATAGTGTGTATATTCTGTGCCATCAAGTCAGAACTGACTACAGTGACCCTAATAGAGCTTTCAAATTGTGGGATATTTAAAGAGTGGTTTTACCAGTTCTACTCCCACAGTGTGTTTCCATAGCCAACTGGGGATTTGAACCCTGTTCTCCAGAGTCCTAGTCTGTCCAATACACCAAGCTAGAAATCCAACTACAATAGTAGTTTGATAAAATTTGAAGCACTGTGGGAATTTTTGTTTGGTGGGGCAAGGTATTTAAATTCTTTGCCAGCCAATTTTAGTATACTCCTCTAAACCACACCTGGGCAAAGTGTGGCCCTCCAGATGTTCCTGAACTGCAAATCCCAACATTCCTCACTGGGTGGGCTAGGCCCAACTCTCCTCACACTATTGGCTGTGTGGGCTAGGAATTATGGGAGTTGCAGTTCACCAACATCTGGAGGGCCGCATTTTGCCCACCCCTGCTTCTAAACCATAGTACTAGAGCTCTCCTTAAGATGAAGCAATACCAGTTAAAGCCATATCAAACTGTTGCCACTGTGTAGTGTAGAATAAATATATTCTTAATTTATTTAAAAGAATCAGGCAAAGGCAGGCTGCCATTTCATTCTAGGCATGTTGATTTGGAAGTTGGTTGCACCAGCACGGCATTTTTCAAAGAAATTTTGTTGGGAAGGGAGTGTATGCACAAAACTCAAGCCACTTCACTCCATGGGTATCAGGTCATCTAGTCATGTGTAAATGCCTGTCATCTGAGGCCAGAAAGAGCCAAGACATGAGATATCTATGATTAGATCTCCCTGAGTTTATTTCTTAATTGCTGATAGTTAGAGGCATTCCAAACATTAAAAAGCACAATATAAGGGTCTCTTATATGTGCAAGTGGATTGTAGAAAATGGTTGCAAATCCATCAATAAAGCAATTTTGCCTTCTTCAACCTGGGTTCCTTCAAGTGTGCTGTACTACAGCCCCCATTACTAGGGAGGTGAACTGCCAGAATGGAGAATTCTGTGATCTAGAGTCCAAACAAAAATGAATTTATGTGCCTACCAGTTACCCCGGCTAGCATACCTAGGTATGGTGATTGGCAGCATGGAAGCTCTGACCCAACATGTCTAGAAGGCACCAGGCTGGGAAAGTCTGACAGTCTGGCCTAGATTATTTGATGTGTTGAATTCTTCTAGTGATGCTTTGTGAGGCAACACTGAAAGTAAGTTAAGGCAACTCACTGCTTTAGTACACTTGCTTATCCCTGTTTTACAGCCTTGAAATTTATAAACATAAATGATAAGTAATAGATATCAAACATCAAGTTCTTGATTCAGCAAAAACAAAAGCACTGATACCTAAATTCAGCTACTCTGGCACAGACAGCCCTATTGTATTATACTCCTGACAGACAGATGCTAATTATTTTGCAAGGAAACATGTATAAAGTATTGTTGACAGAAATACATGACTTTCTGGATCAGACTGAGATTTAGCTAGTCTAGTATTCTCTGAATGAATTCCAGAAATCACAAAGGCAGTGCTGCACTGGTGGCCCTCAACCTTACCTTTGAAATCACAAAGGCAGTGCTCCATTGGTGACCCTCAACTTTATCTTTGAAGGTAGTGGTTTATGATTACGGAAAGTAATTTTTCTGAAATGAATTAACAATTTCACTAAGTAAAGTCAATCAAATAAAGAAGATACAAGTTTTTTTAAAATAATACCTATATGCATCTCTGTTGATGAAATGGAATAATATATTGCCATTTTAATTTAAAATAAAACAAGATAAAGAATTTAAATCTATCTTTTTAAGTGAAAGAGCTGAAGTAAAGTAAATTGGTGACAATCCAAAGTAAAATAAATGTGTGAACCAAAATTTTAACTGGCCAAAGTAATTTCCCTAACAGCTGGCCTTATAATTTACCAACCAGTAATTCTGTTGCAGAATATAGGAATATGAGAAGATCCCTTCTCAGACCAAGGATACATGACGTCCAGCATCCTGTTTCCAGGAAAGAGTAATGTAGGATCATGATCTGTGTTGGACTACATCTCAGAGAAATTGGATTTAAATACCTACCATGAAATCCACTACATGACCGTTGTCCAGTCACAGATTCTCTGAGCTTGATTTACCTCACAAAAATGTTATGTGGATAAATTGGGGAGGAGTCCCATACACTCAAGTAAAGGAAAATGAGAATATAAATGTAATGAATAAATATAGGTAAAGGTTCCCCTTTCCCCTTGACATTTAGTCCAGTCGTGCCCAACTAGGGTGTGGTGCTCATCCCCGTTTCCAAGCCATAGAGCCAGCATTTGTCCGAAGACAGTTTCCATGGTCAGGTGGCCAGTGTGACTAACTGCTAGGTTGGCAGGAGCTGGGACAAGTGACGGGAGCTCACTCTGTTGCGTGGATTCGATCTTACAACTGCTGGTCTTCTGACCTTGCAGCACATAGGCTTCTGCGGTTTAACCCGCAGCGCCACCACGTCCCTTAAATATAAGTTAATATTAAATGGCAAACCTCTGAGATTAGCAAAGTACAAATGGAACAGTCCTCCCAATTATTTTCAATACCCAGCAACTGGCATTCCTTTGAACATACCCTCTGAACATTTCCCTTTAGTGGCCAAGGTTAATAACTGTTGACAGGCCTATCCTCCATGAACTTACTTAATATCTTTCTAATAAAACCTTCTAAGTCACAGACCAGAATGACATAATTCTACAAATTCAGTACATATTACATGAAGTTCTTTCATTCTGGTCATTAATTCTGAAGTCTATCATCATGAGGAAGAAAAAATATGAGAAGCAAATACAGTATATTCTATTTGTTTATTGTTCTTTTATTCTGTCTTTTTTTTTCACATGTTATGCAAATTGGTGGATGTAAAGACATCTATCTATCCCCTTCTTCTTAAAACCAACACAATCTATTTTGAAACAAACGGTATATAACTGGGGCATATAAGCATATACCAAACATCGATTTTTGCTATACACCTCCTTGACATGACCAAGACAAACATCAATTAAAAAAAAAACTGCTTACCACCAGAATGGCATTAAAGTGGTCACTCTTCACCTTCTGCACTTGAATGCAAGATGCTGGCACTTGTAATAATCCTGCCCCCTTGGAAAGATTTCCGACATCTCCATTGGGCATCAAGTTGTTATTGCTAGGCCCAACACCCAAGGCCGCCCTATACAAATAAGTGTGCGTAAGTTTCCCCATTCCTGCCACCTCAACCATCTCTGGCGTGAAATGAGAGCTTGGGAGCATGCGGACATTGTAGCGGTACTTCTCGTATTCATCCATGGGGCAACAGCAGCACCCACGGGAAGGGCTAGTCCTACAGTGGAAAAGTCGGATGGCAAGAAGGAAGATTAGAAACCCAAGGAAGACAAAAGAAAGGCAGGCCAGAGCTATGATCAAGTAGAAGTTCAATTTGGACAGCTGCTGCCCACGCGCTTCCAAGCTGTCATCAAAGTCTGGGAGTGCCTGAGGGAGAGAATCAGCCAGCAAGATGCCCAATGTCACAGAGGAGGAGAGAGGGGGCTCCCCACTGTCCTTCACCATAACCACTACTTTATGCTTGATAGGGTCACTAGACCTCATGGAGCGACTAGTCCTGAGCTCTCCAGCATTGGGTGAAACCCGAAACAGACTGGTGTCGGAAGACTGCAAGAGGTGATAAGAAAGCCAAGCATTCTGTCCACTGTCTGGATCATGGGCCACCACCTTGGTGACGAGGTAGTCAGCATCTGCCAGGCGGGGCACAATTTCTACTGCCATGGAGCCATTCCTCACCCCTGGGTACAAAATGATGGGGGCATTGTCATTCTGATCTAGAATGGTAATGCTGACAATAAAAGCAGAAGCCAGGTGTGGGGAACCATTGTCCTTGGCCTCCACCTGGAAGTGGAAGCTCTGAAGTTGCTCAAAGTCAAAAGAGCCCTCTGCATAAACAACTCCAGTGTTGGCATCAATGGCCAAATAGCTGGACAAGGAGCTGCCTTGGATGTCAATGTCCCTGAGTAGATAGGAGACCCGACCATTCTCACCCAGGTCTGGATCAGAGGCTGACACGTGGAAAAGGGACACCCCAGGCCTGTTGTTCTCTGTTACAGAAACTTCACGCATCTGGTTGAGGAATTTGGGGGGATTGTCGTTCACATCTGCAATTTGGACCCACAGTGTCTTCTGAGTGGCGATGGGAGGGGAGCCCAGATCAGAAGCAGTGACAGTTATGTTGTACTCACTGACCCGCTCCCGGTCTAGAAGGCCACTGGTGACCAAACTGTAGTAACTGTCGAAGGAGGACTTGAGTTGGAAGGGGATGTTGGTGGGGATCTGGCAAATGACCTTCCCGTTTTCTCCAGGGTCTTCATCTGTGATGCTCAAGAGAGCGATCACTGTGCCCAGCAAGGAATCCTCTGGGATGGGGCTAGAAAGCGAGGTGACGGTGATCTCCGGGGCATTGTTATTCACATCTGTTACCTCCACCAGCAATTTGGCAACGCTGGACATCCCAAAGACCCCCTTATCTCTCGCCTCAATAAACATCTCCAGCAGGGGCTTCTGGACGTTTAAAACCCCGTTGACTTTGACCTCCCCCGTTTGGGGGTCGATGCGGAACATCTTCTGGAGCTGAACCGGTGTGCTGTTGCTGAACGAGTATCGGACCTCTCCGTTCTGACCTTCGTCTAGGTCCGTGGCGTGCACCCGTGTGACCAGAGTGCCGTTGGGGGAATTCTCCGAGACGCTGGCCCGGTAGACGGAGTGCTCGAAAGCAGGGGCGTTGTCGTTGGTGTCAAGGACGGTGACCACGACCTGGGCGTCTCCGGACCTCTGGGGACTCCCTCCGTCTTTGGCAGTGATGACCAGCCTGTGCGTGGCTTGCTGCTCCCGGTCCAAGGGCTTTTCCAGCACCAGCTCCGGATAGCGGCTCCCGTCCCCGCGCGTTTGCATCTCCAGTCGGAAATGCTCGTTGGAGCTCAGCGTGTAGCTCTGGACGCTGTTGATGCCTTCGTCGGGGTCCTGGGCATTGGGGAGGGTGAAGCGGGCTCCCGGGGCCAGGAATTCGGCCACGTTTAAGTGGTACTCCCGGAGCGGGAAGGTGGGGGCGTTGTCGTTCACGTCCAAGATCTTAAACTGCATTTTGTAAAGCTCCAGTGGATTTTCCAGCACCAGTTCGTAATTCAGAGAGCAGGTGGGTTTTAGTGCACAGATCTGTTCCCGGTCGACGCGCTCTAGAACAAACAAAGCTCCGGTGCTTGCATTGAGGCTAAAATATTGCTTACTTGAGCTGGAGATCATGCGGAATTTCCGGGAGGGGAGAGATGCTGCATCGATGCTCAGATCCTTCGCCAGATTCCCGACAGGCGCGCCGCTCTCCGTTTCTTCGGGGATGGAGTACTCTACTTGTCCATTCACGGTATAGAAAATAAGGCAGCACACCATTAAATGGACCCGCATTCTTCTTTCCCTGGCTTCCTCCGGCTCAGCTCCCTGCAGATCGAGTCAATGGTAACATAATCCCGTTTTCCGCACGGAGCCAAAGCAAGCGGACTGGAGGGCGGCTAAAAAACCGTGCGGGGAGAGCACCTGCTCTTCCAGGCGCCGGCCGGAGTCATGGCTCGCCGCCGCTCGCTTCTCTTGTGCTGAGCCAGCGAGAGCTAGTCCTCTGCCAAGGCAGCGGCTGCTTTCGGCTCCGGATGAGATCATGTGAAAGGGAAAGCGCTCCGGTTACACACATAGGCCCCACTCTGCCGCACAGCGCCGCCTAGGAGCCTCTACGCGAATGGCAAGATCCGGAGTGGCTCATACTAATGTATCAGTAGGTCAGGGGGGAAATGGAAAATTGAGCCGAGAAAGGCGCGCAGACATTGACCGACGACGGCTGCTGGATCCGCAGGGAAACGAGCTGCTGGCGGGGGGGGGGGATGGGATCTGCCTCTCCCATCTTCCTCCGCCTCCGGTAACTGCGGAGGAGGAGACCTCATGCTTCCTTGGGAAAACCTCTGGATCCCCCGCCCGCCCCGGCTCTTCGTTTCCCTGCAACGGAAAACGCCCAGGCTAACCACGCCGCTTCCCATACAGCTCGTGGTGGTCTGTAGCGGTCTGGAGAGGGCTGTGTGTGAGAGGCGGCACGTACCTGGAAGGGGGGAGGGAATCGATGGATATAAATCGAAGCGACCTGAGATCAGCAAGAGCGTTCTTGGGATATAAAGAATTCACGCGAGCTTCCCCCGAGAGCGCGCGGAGTGGGCTGCCTTTGCCCTCTGCCACTCCTCCCCCCTCCTCTCCCCCCATCTTGCCCCCTTCGCTGGGCAGCTTCTAAGCACCTGTCACGAAGGGGGCTTTGCTGGATGCGTGCGTGTAAATCAGCTTCAGCGTCTTCACTGACATCAATTGAGCGGACAAAGGATGTGGCCTCAATAACTCTTCTATTCATATTTTGGAATATAAATTAGGAGACACTAGCCTTGGGTTCAAGTTGATTCTGAGGAGATATTGGAGGAGGAGTACGTAAAGACTAGCTCAGAGGCTTGCATCATCCTAACCCATTTTCATGGTTTCGTTACTATGAAGCGCAGTTACTTGAAGGAACTGGGGTTGTGTGCCAGAGTCAAGTGTGCGCGCGCGCTTGCGTCTTTACGTCCCGCCTTTCTCCAATGAATACGACTCAAGGCGGTTTACAGTTCAACAACACAAATGCAAACAAAACAGAAAATGAATAAAAACATTAACAAAATTAAAACACGATCTACTATCCCATTGCATCGTTCAGTAATCGTGGTGGATTTTGTGTCCGTCCTCTTCCCAAAGTAAAGCCACAGTAAAAAGCCCCCGAGTGTTGGTTGTATTCTCATTTCATGCCGAGGGAGGGAAACCAACGGCAAAGACACCAGAAATTACTTGCGAGATATTATGGAGTCCAGTGTCTTTGTTTCCTTCTATGATGTGCCGCTGCCGGGTGCACAAGTTAATGTTATTGGGAGTGAAGATCAAAGAGGAGGTTTGAGAAAACAGAAACTAAGATAGGTCCAGAAGCCTTGATTTTAAAAAAAAGCTGTGTCCCCCCCCCTCCAAAACTGGACTCCCTGTCTCCTCCGTATGTTTTCAGGATTTTAGATGGGATGCCCGATTGTCAGGATGCTCGGTGTCGGCAACAGATCAGGAAGAACAGCATCCTTACTACTTTCCATTGAGTCTCTGCAAGAATACCTTCTCTCGGAAAGCTGTTCATCCAAGTAGGAAGAAGTCTAGATTTCAGCTGAATAAATGCTTGTTCTTAATACACGCTTCTCCTACAGAAGTTAGTGTAGCATTTATTGAGCTTCTTAGCAACGCGGAGAACAAGCGTGGAGGAGAACGTGGAGAACAGTTAGGTCGTTGAAACTTTCCGCTACAGAACATCAGGGTATGGAGTTCATATAAGACAGTAGATCTGCTAGGTAGATAACGCTTTGTTACAGATCTTCGGTTCCTGTGCCGAGAAAGGAACAGACCAGAACTTCGATTTGCTGACCTCACCTGTACAGTTCTCTTAGCTCCCAGAATTTCAGCTGCCACACGTACCAGGGATTCTTCAAACCGGAGCAGCTCCGTAGTCTGTACCTTTGCCCTCTGCGAAAGGGCGCCCTCAACTTCTTTGGAAAAAAAAACTATAGCCCCGGGGAAGGGGCGATTTCAGTGCTAAAGCGAGTCAGTGTTCTTGGTCAAGTCGTTTGCCAATGGGACTACAGTGGTTCCACAGTTGTAGCTTCGGACAGTCATCTCCTGTCTTCTTCAAGAGTTCCGAGTTAAGTTTCTTTCTTCGAGCCCTCCTGGCCAAGAATCCTCTTTTGCTTCACAGGAACCCGGTAACGCCACAAATCTTAATTTTGCTGCCAGCTTCCACTCGCGGGGGAGCCACAGACGATCTCATCCTCTCCATTCTGGTGATTCTGCCTCGATGACACAGGCGTTTCTAGCATCCGATGATATTCACACGTGAGACATTTAGAGTAGTTTCGCTTGCAGGCCTTCAGTGTGGAAAAGCCCCCTTAGGCCGGGGGGGGGGTAGGGCAACACACCAGAGAGGACGGCGTGAAAAGAATATCCGTGCCAATATTTCGTCCCATAAGCGTTTTCTGTGTCTGCCCCATAATGGCAGCCGAGGTGATGGGCTTCCCATCCCCGAGGGCACGGGCTCGGGGCAGGTAAGCCAGCAGGAGAGATGTCCCAAGTAGCGATCAGTGGGAGCGGTCTCCCAATTTATTCCGGCCATCCTCGTCCTCGGGGCTTTCTTTTCTTTTTCTTTCCCTTCCACGTAGAGCCTCCCCCCTCCCAGTACCCCGTTGCATTCAGTCAGGCTGTCAGGAGCAAACGTTCACTTGACACTTCTCAGCAGCAAAGCGTCTCTTCAGCCGCCTCCCTCTTCGGGTCACATTCAGATTCTGGGCGTCCGCGGGGGGAACGCGCGGCAGTCCCCCACCCTCCTGCCCCGGTCAGGCTTCCGAACCCGAACAATGTTCTGCCAGGACCCGAGACCGTGAGGGGAAAAGGAAGGGGCCCCTCGCCGCCCGTTCTAGCCAAGAGCGGAAAAACGCGTTCGGACAGCCGAGCCCAACCCAAGTTATTCCACACACACACACACACGTACTCGGGAGGAAGTCTCCCTGAACTCCGCGGGACCCGCTTTCCGGTCAACACGCGCCGAGAATTAGCGCCCCCCGGGGCCGTCTGAAAAGGCGCCCTCACTCGGTGTTCCCCTGAGGTCCGGCGGAACTTGGGCGAACCAGCCTCCTCGGGCACCTGTGTCAGGCCGGCTAAGGCTTCAGCTGTGGGGAGGAAACGTTTCCCACAGGCTGACGTTCCTTTCCCTCAGTCCTTCTGGTCTCCTTCTCGCTGTCTGGCCTCAGAGACAGACACGCGCCTTTACGCTGGCAGGCGGGAGCGCCGTCAACAGGTGTCAGGGGCGACATCCCCTCCTCCTTCCGCCGCCACACTGCCATTGGCGACGGCGACGTCGAACCAGACCGCAGCGTCGCCGTCGCCGCTTTCCAGTCACATCCTGCCCTCCCCCCACCCACCCCCCCCCGCCCCCAAGAGGAGCCACCAGCGGGCCCGAGCGAGAGGCAGGCAGACGCGCCAGCCGCAGGAGGAAGAGCCAGAAGGGGAGCAGCGGGAGGGGTGAGGGAAGGGCGGCCGAGGCGGCGGCTGCGCGCGGATCTGCTCGGTCAGAGTCGGCCTGGCTTCAGCCTGGGCGCCGCTTCTGCTTCCAAAGCGAAGGCTTTCAGTTTGCACGACCGACTCCGGAGGGGATTCACTTTCGCTTCGCTCTCCTCACGTGAAGCGATGGTGAGGAAGAGGATGCCAAGGGAGAAAATGGCTCCAAGAATGCAGCTCTTGGCAGAACAAAGAAAGAGTGGCGCTTCGCTCTACCGGCAACTTCCCTGCCACTAAGAGGCTTTTAAGGAAAAGGTTGAGGTCTCCAGGGAAAAAACGCAGGAGATGGAGCATCTCCCAGGTGAAGCATCGCCTTTCAGTCCTGGCAGACTCGGCCCTCATTTCCGAGAACCGCTGGTTAACGGGGTGGCGCGGCGTCCACAGGCACAGTTCAGCCCGGGTGGAAGCCGCGCGAGGCAGCACGCCAGCCGCGTGACATCCATACCGGTGGGAGGGGGGTGAACTCCACTTGGACCGTGAGGGAAGGCAGAGAGAAAGGCAGGGACCTCAAGGGCCGCGATGAGCTGCTGCGGGAGTGTCTTCCCTCCAGGAGGTTGAGGGCCGGGTCCGTGCTTAAGAGAGCGAGGAGAGAAAGGGTGATGGATCTGAACAACAGAAAAAGCGCGAGAAGCCAAAGCTGAGGGAGAGTTTAGGTCCCGGCTGACGGTCAGAAATGTTACGGCCAGAGGGAGCAGGCGAAGGCTCATGGGGAGGAGAACCGCTGCAGAACATCCAGGAGAATGGAGAATGCAGGACTGCAACCCAAACTGAGGTCCTCTGGTAACACCCCAGCAACAGGAATTCAATGGGGCCCCCTCATGAGGACTAGCCACTTCCTATGCAGAGACAAAAGCAGGACAATCTAGCACTTTGGACAGTTGCCGGAGGGGGAAGCTAAGGGACCAAATGTGCCTCTTCCTTTTTTTCTCTCCCAACAATGGTTGTGTGACCATTGCTGTTTTTACTATGACTCTGATATTTATTGTTATTAAGCTTCTTATTATATAGTGGGCGCAATTAAAACAATATACTGAACATTGGCTGAAATCCAGTAGTAAGTTACAACTACAGTAGGCCCATTGAATTAGTGGTACTTATGGAGGAGCTGACTCACCAAATCCCCACGCATTCAATGGGCCTACTCTAGTTGTGACTTACTACTGGATTTCACCCAATAATTCAGTCTTTTTCTTTAATTTTTTATTAAAATTTGTTAAGAGGCAGGTAGGATTTCATTAAAAATGAAATATAACTATATGTTAAATATGTGAGTTACAATTTAGGAGGGATGTGGTTCATTTTTACAATAATTAATAAAGCAAATTCAGTTCGGAACATTTGTTTTCCCTCTTTCCCTTGTGTATAATTTGACCATTTTTGAAATGCGGAGCAATGCTCAATTTGTTTTCATTCATCTCCCACTGGTACAGACAATACTGTGTACATAGTATACTGTCTGAAAGACAGAGCTGTTAATAAATAAATCCC